GCTTCCTAACAATTTGGCTTCCTATGCACGCGCAAACACAAATCCTTCCGGTAGGAGCCGTCGTCGTAACGTCGCAAGGCACGACACGCACGAACGTGCTTCTCGATCTCCAGTGAAAGTACACGAGAATAACTATGTATAGCATAGCTTCGTGATTTGTCTATTAAAATGCACGTCTGGTGGTCGGGTAGTGGTTAGCGCGCACCGCTCTGAGGGAGGCTATTTGGCTTCGATTGGCGACCGCCGCTAACACCATTGACGGGTGATAATATCTGAACAGCTCCTGCCCCCCCCACTCCCTATTCACACACCCATCATCGTGGTGAAGTATGGTCAAACACCCCCCCCCCCCACCACGGTTGACATGGCAAGAGAAGGCATTTGGCCTTCATCAAACTAGTGGATTGATAAAAGGCCGTAAATTATTATGTCGAATTGGTCTTATTAATTAGGCTTATATCAAGGGACCCACTCATTAGGAGGTGGTCATTCAATGTTAATACTGCATCGAGAATTTCTAGAGGGGCATGCCCTCCCTCCAAACGTCTTTTTGTGTAAAACAAACGTCTACAAAGCAGCAGTATTCCCAAACAACAGACATGCGAACCGTATGATTGTAAATATAACTAGCGGGATGTCTCATTAGTTTAATAAAGACAGTGGATTCAATGATCCCTCATGTCATGCACGGGTGGGGGGGGGGGTAATTACATTCTTGCGTTTCATAGACACCACGTAATATTTTTTTAAATAATAATTTTGCATAGCTATTTATTATTCAGCCACCTGAAAATTAATAACGAAAATATAACTCTTGGAATAATGCATTTAAGTTAATATTTTACAGTGAAAGTGACGCAGAAAACGGCAAGCCAAGCTATATGCGCTATTGTAGTGACAAATCCGATACACAACCCTAGTCTCATAACGATAGTCTCATAACGAGACTCGAAAAGTGTTCACCGATAGTGCTGCATCATATTTTCCCCAAAAAAGAAAATAAAATAACACCGTACGAAATGCGTATACCGCTGTTAGTGACCAATTAATAACACATTTATCCACAATCAAGCTTTAGTCATTTCCAGAATTATTTAATAACTCACCCGTCCCTCCCCATACATAAATAAAGTATACGGTGCCTGATAAACCATAAATGATTGCAGCTGATAATCCTAAAGAACCAGAAGACTCTCTTGACAGCAGGAGCCCAGCAGATGGGCACGGCTCATAAATAATTCCCAACGATGTGTAAATAGCAATATGCTAAAGGCAGTCGTGTTGCTAATACAGAGGTGCAACTACGAGCGGTGGCAGTGAAACAACTACTCTTGTTTCGGTCATGACGTTACTTTAAAAAAAACAGTTTCTTATTTATTTAAATTAAAAATGAACATTGATATATTTGTCTTGAGGTATCGACGACGAACTTAGGTTCTTTGCAGATATATACGTAAATGCATTGCATGATTATCCAGGATAATGGGGGGTGGCCTGGGTTGCAGATTAACCGTGCTTGAAAAATAAATAAGTAAATACATATTTGTTTGCGCGTAGCGGCGGTTTCATTAAAAGCTGCTCTTCGTCGAGGGCCGGTGAGTACGTGCCCACGTGACCGCAAACGAGTCGGCAATGTAAAACAGAAGTGAATTGTGTTACGCCACAACGTATTGATTGTTTAATGGGACGTGAGGTCGGAGAATGCGTTGTCTGTGTTTATTGCATCTTCATGCAAAATGTTTACGCGCCTACTCGTTTGTGGTCGCATGGACACTGGAGTCACTGACGAAGAGTGAGGATCAGCTAAAAATGAAACCGGCGTGCGAATAAAGTGGTTAATATTTTGTCAAGCACGGTTAATCCACAACCCACATAACACTCCCACATATAAACAGAACTGAACAATGACATTCAAATTGAATTGAATGTTGTTTGCAGAAGCTACCCATGAGGAAAATGGCAGCAGAAACTTCAATACGAAGCATTTTCCACGGCTTAAATATATACCCACATGATGTCTCTAATTCCATAATCACTATAGGGCCGATAAAATTAATACCATCTTAATAGGAGTCGACTGCAGTTGTCCAATTGATAACCTGGTCCTCGTAATAGGAATGTGGAATGTCCACAAATAGCTCATGAATGATAATGACGATGAGCACGACTCAATGCTCACTTGAGCAGGGAGACTTATTGCTCTTTCTTAGTTGTAGTTGTAATTCTATGAACATTTTGTGGCACAAAGAAATTTGATTTTCTTAAATGCGTTATGCTGTGATGCATTGTATATGTGTCCAGTATGTATATTAAGTGGTAATTCAACTTACTGACGAGTCTGCCACAGGAATGTTGAATTTTCACCGCTAACTCAAGGCTTTGAATTCAGATGAATGCCACCAAATGCTTGTATGAGTTTGGGGGCTCAATACGTATGTTTAACGCATGCATACATTGCTTAAACATATAATGATATACAAACTCATCAATATGTATTATGTTGTTATAGGTTGGGCATGACGGTCACCCATCCAAGTACTAAGCAGAATCAACCCTGATTGGATTCTAATATGTGACTAGATCGGGCATATTTTCGGTGATTTGGTCATAGGCGCAGATGCACATTTACTCTATAATAGACTGTGATCACCCAAAACAGAAGCATGGAACATACAGCAATTCAATGCCCGATTCCCAAATACGAAGGAGGCATCATATAAACATCGATACACCACTCCGCTTACTCCTGACGCAATTACCTGACTCATGAACCACTTCAATGTACAACTATAGTCGTTGCTCTACATCAACATCAGCCATGACAAATAAGTGAATGCAATTAAACAAACTCCTCCCTTTGCCCGTGGAGCAGCCCATACAAGGATGCGCATGAAGTCACAGTTACAACAACAATTCCAAACCCATCAAAATACATTTGTACTCCGCAGCGATGCATTGAAAAACTCAAGTGAAAAATAAGGGCACTGCAATGGGACCCTGCTGCTCGTGCGATGTTTTAGCAACGGAAAATAATCGGGCCCGCCAAAGCCACCGTGCTAGCGCTGCAAAAGATGGAAACTGTGGAAACCACTTGGACAAGATGGCGACTCCCCTTCGATCTTTTTTTTTATAGAAAAATAAATTATCTTCGATTGCAGGCGAAACATCTCCCTTCGTGTCGGCTATTTTAAGCTTCTTCTTTTTTTTTACAGCTGTCAATAGGTTTACTCCGGAATATGACTACTGTATCTGCTTTGCCACGCCACGCTCGCTCTGAGCGGATACGTTTGATTACGTGTGGAAGCTAGATTGGGAAAGCAGCATTTTGTATTTGGACTCAACCCTGCAGTATGATCTTTTGTAAATGTGTTGGGGCGGGGGGGGAGTCATGCAACAACAAGACATTGTTAAACATGGAATTATTGGCTTGGCTATATCCATTTAGAAGGGGGCTGTATCCGCACCCAGCATCCCCCGATGCTATGGGGGGTGGGGGGGAGGCAGTGTTTGAACAAATTTCAAGCAAAAGCAGTCTCATTACAAATAAGTGATACAGATGTAATTTGTAATCACGTGCGTTCATACTCGATCTGTTATTGTAAGCACATTGTAAATAAACCTCTTTCGCGGATGGACACATCTGTGTAGTCTGTTGTCTGCAAAAAAGCAAGCGGTAAGAAGAGCCGATCGCATTGCCGATGAAAACCCAAGTGGGCTTCCCAAACGTAGGCCTCCCAACGATTAAACACCATACAATATTCATGGAGGTAAAGAGGTTAGCTGAATATTTCAGGGAGGACGATTAAAAAAAATCCATACGTAGAAATGATTACTTATGTAAATAATGTAAAGTGCAAATGCCAAGACATTTACGATAATGCAATACACACATAATTGTCCTGAATGATTGGCAGTATAGCATTTTTCTCATCATTCGTATATTCGTTCCGTTGTTTAAAATCGATATATCAAATTAAACATGACTACGCTCAATCAACTGTTGGCAGGAAAGCTATGAAACTAAGGCACTTGTTGAATATGGGAATGTTAGATTTCACTGTTCAGCCGTGGGCTAAAATTAACTCTGACTTTAAAAAAGGAGCACTAACAGCTGTAATCACAAAACATAATTAAAACAATTCTATGAAGTTTTTTTTTGAAAGTCAAAACATTGATGGAAATACGTAGTATTTATAATATGTGTTATATAAAAAAATATTATTGCTTATCAGGTGATGTTTGAGTGTATATATATGTGTTAAGGCCTATGATCAAATAAAAGCTGGAAAAATTCCCAATCTCATTAGATCTTAGGCAGTAAGCTGGTTTGAGCTTGCAGGCTTGACCATGGAAACACGTGGATAGCCGAGAGGTTTGCTGTAGGCTGTGGGGCTATGTGGCGGCGGGTAGTGGGACATTGCTGCTAAATTCAGTGTTGTAATGTGCCTCTATGTTGCTCGCCCTCACCATCTGGCACGCAAGAGCATGCTCAGATAGGGTCAATGTAACTCTGCGACCAGCACGGCACGGGGAGGCCCTCGTCTAACAGTTGCTTGATGACAAGGCTGTACATGATAGCATTATATATACACACCTCCATTCATTCGACTGCTATCGAATTCAGCAAATGGCTTTCAGTATTTATTCATTATTTTGTATTTTTTTTGGGGGGGGGGGTTTCATGAATTATTTCAATGTTCAGTGTCTGCTGCTGTGTCTTGTACAGCCTGCTTTGAGCTCGATGATTGAATGTGCTTTATAAATGGAATACATTGTTATTATTATGTGTTCATATGTGTGTACAACGATTATAATTGGACTGGCGGTATCCGAATCAAACAGCATCTCATTGTAAGAGAATGGTCACTCTGCTGCCAGTCTGGTGAACACAACAGTTAACTGGTGATTTTGACAAAAAAAAGAGCGAGTTGTTAGTTTGAAAGTTCCTGGTTTATGACTTGGAGGAAATCGGGGGCTTGTTGTTCCTACAGACATTGCCGCAATTTACGCGCTGACTTTTTTCCTCCCTTCAAGAAACTGAGAGAGGGACCACGTGTTGCCAAGATTGAAATGTGCGAATTCATAAGGTGAGTGGGGGGAGGGGTATTTTGATCATCAACATAAATAAACCTTGGTCGACACATATAATTCATTTATCATGGACCCATCCGCGCTTCAAGCGACTTACCATCTTTTCTATTAATTTCATTCATGCCCAGTTCTGAATCCATTCCACGAGGAAACCAAAAGGAGTTGTACCTCTGCAATTTACGGACACAATAAACACACACAGACACATACACGTTTTAAAAGTATACTACGCCATCGTGAAGTAATACAATTTGAAAGCTCCATTATGATAAAGTATATGTATAATGCTTCGTTGCTGTAAAGTGTTATCCAATTCCTTTTTAAATGCGAATGCCGTCTTTGCATCCAGGAGAGTCAAATTACATTTTGGTCAAATCTATGTATGTTGAACTTCTTTCGCGCCGTACGTAGCCAACCGTGCTAATCGGATGTGCGGGACAACTCCCTAAAATAGGATAACTACTGCCACTTTTAACTCGGCGTGAACAAGAGTATGTCTACATAAATTATAAACACCGCATCGCTATCTTCCTTGTAAATACAGTATATGTGAATGCGTATACACATGTACGAGTATATTATAAATGTTCCCACGAGCGACATGCTCACGCGATGCAGCCACGAAACCTCTCGCTGTGACACAGGTCGTATGGCCCCTGCGTTATTCCCCAACGGGAGCATTGGCTGAGTGGTGCGGTTTTTTTGGCAACAGAATTCTCCAGTTTGCTTGACCCATCAATTTACCAATTGACAAACAGCAGACTATTTACGCTTCCACACGGATGGGTAAAGCGTCACACCCTCCACATGTATGCTTGTACGTGGGTTTCAAAACCTAACCCAATATCCGAAGCTAAGTTGAAATGTTACATGTAGAAAATATAAATGATTTTCAGTTATGTGTTTGACATCGTGTTGCATGCATGACAACATGTATAATGTAAGAATATTTAAAATGCTTTTAGATATATTACCTACTCTTATTGGGCTTGAACAACTAAGTTTACATATATCTGAGCCCAAAGGGACTGAGCTGTAACCGTCATGCTGTTTAGCATTGAACGTTGAAACCAATTAAATAATTTTTAGTTTTAGATATTAAATTGCTTGTCGTCTCAATAAACACCGCCATTCATATTAATTTGCATGTAACTGAAGGGAAAGTGGGTCAATTTGTCACGAAGGCCTAAAAAATGGTGTGTGTGCAACACATGATAAACACATTCTAATTATCATAGCCTCTTCTTAAAATCGTAAGTGCTATTTGTAATGATGTGTCTAATGTGAGCAAAATATAAATTGATACATCGCCAACCATCAAATTATTGTATATGCAGTGTGATTTTTATATTCATGCAGTATACCTTACACAATATTACGGATCATGTTCGTATCACAAATGCATGTTATACATCCACCTCCAATTGTATTTCTCAATAGTAAAAATGTAAGAAAAATTCAAACATGAAATTGGCATTAACACTGCACAATTGTCCTCGTCTATGTGTTGTCGTATGCTACGGTGAAACGTGTGCTTGGCCACGAAGACACCCCTTACCCTGCTCCTGAAGCACATGTACATCCCCGTCACGAGCAGCAGCAGCAGAACGACGGCGGCCGCGGACCCAGCGATGACTTTGGTTTTTTTTGCCATTCGCACGATCGCAACAGGTGACCAAACACAACGCATATAATGCAACGCTTGATTATTACTATTATAACAACATAGCGCCGACGCGCGTGCACATGATTTATTATGATTGTGATTGGAATGTGAAATTAACTCGCGAAATAAAATTAACAACAACAACAAGAACAAAAAACTCTGCGAAAAAAAAACGTAAGCTTATTTGAGAATTAAATCATGCTCCATTTACGGAACGCCATTAACCCGCTTATGGGGCATTCGAACGTGATTATCATCCCGCATCAAGGCCTCCAATTTAAACGACGTTTTACCAAACAGTGCGACGACGCTTCACAGTGATTATTTTTAAATTTCAGGCGACAGACATTGCTCACCACGCGTATTCGGCAGAGGCGTCGCTGCGACTGTCGCCGCTCGGCTGCGCGCTGTGGAAGTTGGACAATTGATCGTTGACGTTGAGATCGGAGACGCGACGGTGATGGTGGACGCGTTGGTGGTGGTGGACGTGGTGGTGGTGGACGCGTTGCCGCTGAAAGTCGTCGCGTTTTGCGTCGCGCTCAGACTGCGGTTCGCTGTTGGGATCGAACCCGGCGCAGCTATCGACGACGACGACGTTGGTGTTGTCGTCTCATTCGGTTCGACGCCGATCACCGCGGTGTTATTCGACTTGGCGTCTGAGACCGAGCCGGCGGCAAACTGCACAACTGGAATGACAACGAAACAAAAAGCAGAACGAGAGGCAAGCCTTAAAACTTGTTTTCGTCACGTATTTGCTTCGCGCACTGAGCTTTAACTTAGAACAATCTCGCCGATAGAGCTGGCACCTTTGGCATTCGAACCGAATGTGGTACAGGATTGCCCTTTAACATATCATTCTCACGCGAGAGAGTGGGCACACACATTTAGCACTTCCTGCAGCCTCCGAGAGCAATCATTAACAAAACAGCCCAGTATCGTTATTCTTTGTTGCTTGCTTTAAGTTAACTTATAAAAGATGCACCGATGCCCACCAAAGTTTGTTCCTATTTACTGGTGAGCTGAACATTTTGAGCATTTCCATTCGGGCACGCGACGATTTCTAGCAGCTAATTTTACTTTTGAACGCAAGACGGAAAAGGGTATAGCACTTACTGCAGACGAAAAGAAGGTGCGTCCAAGCCATAATGAGTGGAAAGTGTTGACAACGTTGATTCCCGTGTGTTTCCGAACGCTTGAGGAACAGTGATAGAGGCACAGCCACGGAGAGTAACTTGGCTCCCACTGACTATATCCGAAGAAGGCAGTCAACTGGGCACAAGCTCTCCTTATCTCACTGTGCAGGTTTTCCTTTAAACTTTCAAAAACGGCCAATCGCTGCCCACACCACACTGCCCCCGCCCTCTGCCCCTTATAAAATGATTGTGGTGCCAGAAATGAACGCATGGCGAAATTTTAATGTTGGGAATACAAATTTGAGCTTAGAAAGTTACATTTGGGAACGTGCATGGAGTGGTCATTTTTTTTGTATATGGTCACAAGGATCGCGTGAAAGTTCGTATGTGCTTTCGTGAAATGTAAGAATTTGGCACTGATATTCCCATACGTTAAGCTGTCGAGGGTATCGCTGTGAACGGCAATTTTTTTTTTATTGCCGAGGCATTGCGAACCACCTGTTAGATACATTGCAGATGTATGTATTCGATTGTACAAAGCAGCCAAATTTTAAACATTTATTGTGAATCAGTTTGACATAGAAAAAAACTAAATTGCAAAGTAATATTTAACTCCTCTGAGCTGTACTTCATTGTAATAATGTTTATTTTATATTATTTTTCATCATATCGCAGGGTATTCACAAACTACTCATGCTATAGGTCGCTATACTGTGGTTTGTTGAAAAAGGATTAAAATGAAGCAATTTTCAGCCCAAAAAGTGTTCAATAGTTAAGTGTGTCATCTGAAGTTACGTCTCCAAATTGAGCACATTCGTCTGTAATAATAATAATAGGTGACGTTTCAGACAATGTCCCTTTTAGGCAGTACATAGAGAGGAAGGGCCATTGTATATTATATATATTTCAGGCAGTGTTGTTGACTAATGTGTTGAGTCTTCGTGTTATTTGTGCTTGGGCAGCACTGTCGCTGGAGTATCGCCAAAATAATTTGTTAAAATTTAAACAAAATCCGTGGAACTAAACGCCGAGGTAGATTTTGTTCGTTTTTGTTTAAAAATAATTTCATAAATAGTAAATATGCATCAGGTGGGGGTGTTGGTGCAGTGGTTAGCGTTCTGCGTACGTTCGGAACCGAGCGAACCAAATTATATTCCTGGCCACTGAAAACATCAGTCACGAGGGATATCTGGACTGGTCCGTAACAACCGGCACGGAGCAGCATTATGAAGTATGGTCAAACAACCCACGTGGGTCAGGGCAGGAGGCCTGACCCATGGAGGAGGCCTTCATCCAGCAGTGGATTCACAACGAGCTAAATGAAGTACATGCTTTTGTGGGACTATGAAAAACACATTTTGGTATTAAATATTTTTTTAAAAAAAAATAATTGTGCCAATTAAATAACAATGCAATTTTTAACAAGCACAATATTTCACAGATATAAATGACCGTGACTCTGAGATTCTGTACTATAATGTCAAAATTGGTCCGCAAAATAAATGTTTTACGTACAACAGCAACCAGGCGCAGGCCTGTACCACACAAGCGGTCATCGTTTATCTGGTCAAGTTGGTCTGTTGGACGCAAAATGAATGAGAGTACAACTGCATTAATATGCAACGTAAATAAATTACATTGATGTCAAGAAACCATGGAATGTGCTCGCGATACATATTATGGTCTAACCTGATGAATGCTCCACTTGCACACACACACTATTGTTTGCAGTATTTTATTAATGCCTTGAAACATAAGCATGCAAACACAGCAGCGGTCAACAGCCAGATATTGCTTCGTTATAACATTCTATTTAGTACACATTTTTATATAAGTTTTTCTTAGATCAAAGGCAATCTGTAAAAAAATAGTATATACCATATTAATACATGTATGATGATTGTTCATAATTATAATGATATAAATGGTGCAAGTTTATACAGATAAAACATGACTTTAAACCAGTGCTCGAGTGTTTTGTGATCTCTGAACATACGTTATTTATATCTATATATAAAATGACAGCTAATATGGTTCACAAATCTAAAGTAACACGTACAAATCATCTGTAAAGTTGACATCACTTAAACAAACCAAGACAACGCGTATAGACTGAAAATAAACATGCATAGCAAATATTACTTTTATTACGACAGTGGAATAAACAAACTTGTCACTTGAAACAAAATAAGATCAATACACCTAAATATAACAACACCATTGTAATGGCACGTATGAGCAAAGTGAAGTAATTGATCATTTCCCAGCAATGCGATGTGCAGATTCACATGCTCCACGATTTGCCTGAAAACCTCACGGCTAGAGCCCAATGTTCCCTCGACCCCACAAATCCCGAACCCGTCCACTCATTTCTCTCCTTGTAGCGTGTTTCACCGAAACATTTTTTCCAGCGGCAACAATTAAAACGTACAACGCCACCTTCCACAAATCCAAAAAGTGTGTTGTTTGTCGGTCCCCGCTCCGTATCGGCCGCGTTGTTTGACTGCTGATGCAGGCGCTGCGCAGTGGTTTGCGAAAGCAACTTGGATTCAGAGTTCTTGGGCTAAGAATATAAACATGCTGTGTGTAGTAAATTTTGATTTAAAGCTTTCGTGACTGCAGTAATTCATATTCTTGGTTCTTTCGGAAAAGTCACGTTGGAGGGAAACAATAAAATAATAAAATATATATTAAACAATAAAATTCTCACGACGTTTCGACTGTAACACCTGATGATGACTGTTTGTGTTACAGTCGAAACGTCGTGAGAATTTTATTGTTTCATATATATTTTATTGTTTCCCTTCAACGTGACTTTACCGAAAGAACCAAGAATATGCTGTGGAGTGTAAAGGTTGGACATTCAACTCAAGTATAATCACCCTGTGTCCCTTCCATCAGCTCGTGAGTGGCGACGATGGGGCTGAACACACTTCCGCCATGCTTCTTCTTCTTCTGTAGCCAGTTCTCCTGCTTTCGTTCAATTGCAAACCTGGCATTTATTCAATAAATTTCGATCGTTTAAACTTAAAGTAGAACAATCATAACGCGATGCGTCCCACAATTACGAATCCATCTCCTGCATTACTCTGCCTCCCTAGGGTAGCCATCAATTCAACGGAGGGGTACACGCCAGGGGACAAATTTATTTCATGCAATGTTGGAGTTTTCCAAATTCACGCGTAAATGTCTTGTGTTGATGATTCACCGGTAATGTTACGCATTCTACGCATTTACTAATACAGATGTGTGCTTATTGAATGGGTGCATCATTACTGGACACATTGTACATGATTGCACGTAACGAATATTCAGAATGTTGGAAATAATGTAGTCTACTTAGATATATAATTGTTTATGTATTGTTTATGTAATGCATTATGTAGTATATCCTGCATTGCGCAGTTTATAATGGTAATTGCATACAAATGCAAATTTTGCATTAAGCAAGCAAGGGGTGGTAACGCACGCAAATAACGTAATTTTTTTTGATTGTTTAGAAATTCAATAAAGTACCAAATGACAGTTTGCAAATATTTGATTGATATTGATTGACTTTCAAATTCTTGAATAGACACTCATTGTATATGGTCTCATCAATATCAGAAATAAGTTTACACTGATTGCATTGTCCAACATATTGCACGCTGATCAGATGATGCACAACTACTACGCCTTGCAATAAATCACGACCGAGGAACGGTCCGTTTGCGGCACTTCGCTACGAACCTCGCGGCCTGAGTTCGAGTCCAGGCCACGGCTAACATCGGTGGCGAGGGATATCTGAACTGGCCCTGGGCTCCCACCTTCACCGACCTGCAATGTCACTCATGGGGAAATATGAATACAGTGTAATTTTAGTCTGGGCAGGCTATCGGCCATTCCGAAACTTTCATCAACCAGCAGTGTGTTTGTTTTTAAGGTCTCGGCCCTTCTGGGGCTGATCAGAAGCGTCACGCTCGCTCAACACGTGCTGCTGGCTTTGTGGTTCGCATTGTCGTATGGGCTCCCTCAAAAAATGATGAGGCCCTGTCAGCACAAAAAAGAAACTATAAAATGTTTGATGACGATTTATCACCCAGAATACCCCGCAACAGCACAATAAATGTTTAACAATTTAAAGCAGAATGGAGTGGGGAAGCCTTCAACCAGCAGAGTATTTACACATGGCTGAATGTTCGCATAATTATGTTATGGCAGTCCTTATACCGGATGAATTGAATGTTAGATGTGGGAAAATGTCAAATCTGGAAACATTGCCATTGTGTCAATGACGATTTCTTTTGGCGTCTTTATGGAGGGCGTTAATAGATCACTGTACTCTTAATGAACACCAATCCTTTACGGGGAGGATTTCTATACAACTCACACTTAACTTCTAATTTAGCAATCTTTGGAAGAACGTAATCAACCAGGAAAAGTGTCAACTGTTGTGTTAACCAACTCTCTGTGTTGCATTGCATTACATTTATATTTTTTCCGCCTGAGGACGACCGCTTTTGTTGCCATCAAAACGTCGTGATATTTTATTGTTCTACCCACGTGACTTTACCGAAAGAACCAAAGAGTATGGATTCCTGCAGTCACGAAAGCTTCAAATCGAGATTTTACGAGGTGTGTTTTCTCAAACATCCTATTTCTCTCTCTTAATTTTACCCAGATTTGTCAAGTTCCAATTTGTCTCCTCCGGCCGCTCTCATTGACATGCCACTTTCTTTGCCCCACCAGCACTCTCTCTATAAAATGCCTTGAGACAGAGTCGTTGTGTCTCTGTGTGTCTCTCTCTGTGTGTTTCTGTGTGTGTCTCTCTGTGTGTGTGTCTCTCTATCTTGTGTCTCTCTCTATGTGTCTCCGTGTCTGTGTTTGTCTCTCTCTCTCTCAAATTTAGCAATATTTGGAAGAACGTAATCAACCAGATAAAGTGTTAACTGTTGTGTTAGCCGACTCTCTGCGTTGCATTGCGTTACATTTCTTAGTCTACTCGGTTTGTTTTCTCATTCATTCACACCTGATGACGGTTTCTCGTGTTGCAATCGAAACGTCGTATTCTGTTATTTTATTTTATTTCTACGTGACTTTACCGAAAGAACCAAAGAGTATGGTGTTCCTGCAGTCACGAAAGCTTCAAATCAAGTTTCAACCAATCCTGTGATAACATGACACTTGTAGAGAAATTACACGTACACTTTCATAATATATGCATGGGT